AGAAAGGCATTGGGTATTTCGTCAGCACCACTAGATTTTTTTACATCAAGTTTCAAAAGCATGTTGAAAATTCCCTTTTCACTTACGGTAATGTCAGGCATCGGCGGTAATGGTGACACAAAATTAGGCAGTTTGCCATCATCATTAGTAAAGCAGGACTGAAACTGCCTATTGAATGCATTTGCAATTTTTGTGGCATCAGTAATTTGGACACCATTAATGGTAAAAGCATCCACATCAGTGTAAGATGGGGAAATTGCTTGCCAAAACTTCTGCGGCGAACTAGTAATGAAACTAGGTAAAGAAACTGAAAAATATTTGTCTTTGTCAGCTGCAACTTGTGTTTTAACTTTGTGAGACAAATCTGAAATTTTGGATTCCAGGTTTACGCAGTCGCCTACAGATCGACGTTTTTTCTTTAACCTCTTTAATTTTCTCTGCAAATGTATAGTAGAACGACTTATCCAGGCATTCACACGTTTGTTTTTCTTGCGTATCAATGGCACAAATTGTTCAATACATTCATGTATAAGTTTTGTAAAAGAAGCCCAAAGATTGTGAACATTTGCATCAGTGCGAGAGAAATTATCTAGATGAAACGAAAGCACGTCTATTATAGCTTCGTCATCGGCTCTGGAAAAGTTTCGAAAATATGAAACTTCGTTAGCTTTGTCGACTTTAACATTGCTGAGGCTAAGGAAGACGGCCTGATGATCGGAAATTCCTGGCATGATTTGAGATGTGGCGTTCTCGAAAATGCTACCGCTTACGAAGAAAAGATCTAGTAGAGTCTTACTGCTATCCTGAATTCTTGTGAAGCCTTCAACAACTTGAGTAAGGTCAAAGGCAAAAGCAATATCAAGCATTGCCTCTCCTACCTTGTCATTACGACTTTTGGGGGACATTGTTAGCCAGTCAACACCAGGCAAATTGAAATCACCAGATAGGATTATCCGATCATCAGGTTTGACATGGTCACATAAATACTCCTTCAACACATCCATGGTAGAAGCATCAGAGTTAGGGGGTCTGTACATGGCACCAACAATATACCTAAGGCCGCCACTATAGACTTTGCAGAATAAACACTCAATGTAGGCAACTTCAGGCATCAAGAATACATTAAGCGCACTTTTGTAGATTATACAAACTCCACCACCCCTACTACCACGGTCTTTCCTGTAAACTCGGTATCCTGATGGAACGAATTCACTATCGTATATTTCATCACTGAGCCATGTCTCAGTCAGTATAACAATATCAGGATCGTTAGCGATAATTAGCCCCTCAAGCTCTGTGCTTTTATTGACTACGCTCCTACAATTGATGTTAAGAAGTTTCAAGAATCGATCATCATTTTGCCTTTGTCAAACCCGCCTATCACTTTTCAGCCGAAAGCGGCATTTCTTGTCACTGTCCCAACCGTACATAACGCCGTTTACACTTAGCTTATCATAGATAAGCTTTACCTTAGCCCCTTTTTTCTTTTCGTCTTGAGCAGTTTTCCAAAGCATCCTTCGCTGCTCACGGACACGATGCGAAAAATCTTCCGCAATAGACAATGAAGTGCCTTTAAGTTTATGCGAAACTTTTAAAATTGACAGCTTTTCTTTATAATCCAGACACTTTATTACTATTGGACGATTTTTATTTTCCATACTGCGGCCTAACCTATGAATTCGCTCAATGCTGACCGCTTTAAGTCCCAGTTTATCTTCTACAATGTCCTTATTAAATTTCTTTTCCAATTCTTCATGTGTCTCATTCTTGGGTTCATAAAGACCATAGATGATTAGATTATTTCGGCGACTCCTATTTTCTAAATCATCTACTTTGTCCCTAAGCGCCACGAAGTTTCTATCAAGGTGGGACATTTGGTCTTCTAAGTTTTTAATCTTATCGCCCAATGTGGCAAGACTAGACAGCTGTTTCTCCATTGCCTCCATTCTGTCGCTTACTGAAGACAATTTCTTTTCTATCTTCTCATGAGAAGATTGCATAGATGCCATGGTTTCCATTATTTTTTGTTGTCCGGCCAGTAACTCACGCAACGTATCACTTTGGGAGGGACCGGGGTTTGTTTCAATGTCGCCACAGAGTAATAAACTTTTTGCTAGGGTGAAAATATAAGTAACAACATTTAGTACAAAGTGTGGGCAAGGCAGCAGCAACAAATAAGGGTTGTCACTACGAAAACAATGCGATGGCCGGTTATCACCAACCTGAAGAACGAAGCAGAAGGGATTACTGAGCATCCCGCCGGTAGTGCTGCTGCCTGGCCCACTGGGGTGGCTCGCCGGTTCACGCCCTTTTGTAGCTTCCAAGATGGACACGTGATGTGACGTCACCGAAGATGGTCGCAATGGCCATCTTGCGGTGTGAGGACTTTTGATGCTGCTGATACCGAAGTCGGCAAGCGGCGATGGCTCCGGTCCATATCTGCGTAGCAGTTCGGCTTGCTTGATTCCAGGGAGGCAGCCGCGCTGTGATAGCCGAATTTCTTGAAGCACAGCCAAAACCTGAAGAACGAAGCAGAAGGGATTACTGAGCATCCCGCCGGTAGTGCTGCTGCCTGGCCCACTGGGGTGGCTCGCCGGTTCACGCCCTTTTGTAGCTTCCAAGATGGACACGTGATGTGACGTCACCGAAGATGGTCGCAATGGCCATCTTGCGGTGTGAGGACTTTTGATGCTGCTGATACCGAAGTCGGCAAGCGGCGATGGCTCCGGTCCATATCTGCGTAGCAGTTCGGCTTGCTTGATTCCAGGGAGGCAGCCGCGCTGTGATAGCCGAATTTCTTGAAGCACAGCCAAAACCTGAAGAACGAAGCAGAAGGGATTACTGAGCATCCCGCCGGTAGTGCTGCTGCCTGGCCCACCAACAACATTTCATGATATGTTGCTCAATTAAAAAATTACAACACGGTAATCTTCCCTTCACATAGCGTCAATTCCTAAGGTGCATGGGATCTGCCAAATTTTTTCGCCAAAGGATGTCATAGGCCACGTGATGCCCTCAGGCCTTGGGAGTGTTATTCATGGACTAACACTCTTAGGCATTAAGCACGCATGAATATGCTACAACGAGTGGACCCTGGAGCACCCTGTGTTGTAGCTAAAGTGGTAGGGCATTGCACGCATAATTTGAAGGTGGCTTCGGATCCTACTAACAGATGGCCAATTTTTTTATTCTTTTATTTTTCTCTGTACAAGTAAGACTCATTACTATACAGTAAAAAAGACTCTACTGATGTCTCATACTTTCCTGGGCTTAAAGGGGTCCTCCAACACTATTGAAGCATCTGTTTTTAAAGATGTTAATTATTTGTGGTTTCCGTAGACCGATAGGTGGAGGTAAGTTTAGCATTGGTCTAAGCGTGAATATTGTATGATTTAGTATTTTAATCACACAATAAAGTCAATACATTACTGCCGAACGCAACACCACGTGGTGGCATTCGTCCGAATTTTGCGGGCGGAGATGGTGCCGGAAGGTTGCCGCCACATTATTGCATAAACGTAACGTTAGAAGTGATCGAGGTGTAGGATAAAAACTAAGGTTACTAATTTATTTCAATTTTCGTCTCAGGTGCTTCTTCATCGAACCCTGAACAGACGCGGCCACAACAGAAAAACATCACTGCGACTACAAAGCACGACGGAAACGCTGGCTGCATTTCTCGACTGGATTTTTGGGTTGGCCGGGACGGATGTGCATACCAAAGACCTCTCTCCTTTTCTTCCCTCGTCTTGCTTTTGGGAGTTTGCGAGCTGTCTCTTTCCGCATGTGCACTGTTGAAGGGGTGCAGTGCATCATTGTTGTTCATCGGGCGGCTCACCGAACAACGGGCGAAGGGTCAACAACACCTCACTGTCCTGGCCGTTCCACAAGTTCCTTTCTCAGAATAAGAGCAGGGAGTGACTCGGAATGTTGAAAAAAAAACAGCAGAAAATACTTCGCTTCACAGTAGCTCACGTTTTGGCAAGCCAGCCGTCAGGCACAAGGTGAACAGTACTCTGGAAAAAAAAAAAAAGCAACAAAGCGAGCTTCCCTTACGTAGGCGCTTGCAGTTTATTTCATTGGGGCAGCCTTCTGACGTCATGGCAAGTTAAATGTGGTCAAGTGACCCCGTGAAAAGGGAGTTGAGGGTTGACCTTTTTTTATATATATATTAAATTTTCTAAGTCTAGTAACTTCATACTGTGCATTTTTACCACTGCCGTTTTTGATGCATTAGTCTGTCTGTATTTTAGTCTACACAACCCGCGAGTAAAACATAAGGCCTTGAATAGTGTTGGAGGGCCCCTTTAAAGGAACGCTAAAGTAAAATAATTCATGTCAGTGTGAAGGCCCTATGTATGACAATCTCTAAAACAAGAATATTATCGACAGCAGTGCCCTACTTATCGAGAAATTAAGGTAAATGCACGAGAACACAAGCGCCATGACTAGGACATTCGCTAAATAATCCCAATGACGTCAGGGTTACCGCCTACAATTAATCTTTAGTAATCGAACTAGCTGCACTAAATAAGAACCTTTCTGTGCATCAAGAAGCATAAAAAAATACTGCTTGTTTGTGTCTGTTAGATTCATGAGAAAAACCACCAGACGTTACTATAAAGAATGGCGCGAGTGCTTCAAGAGTTCGATTTTTGCCTGGTTAAACTAAATAGGTCATGCCGTATAGTGGGGCGCGATTGAACCAAGCATGTCTGCTATCTCGAAGGCCACTGCACAAAGTTGTTGGATGGCCGTTGTTGCTGCTGTGGCCCCAGCTACTTTCGCTCTGCTGCTACTAGTGTCAGCAGTCGCGCAGTAAAGCAAGGCAACATTGTGCATGGAAGCAGTGACGTGACCATTTCCACTATGGGACAGGTAATTTGAAGTGTGCTAACGCAATGGAGACCACTAAAACAGGATTTTATTGGAAAATAGGCACTTCCTTGGCACAAAAGTAGCACTACGAGGTTTCTAGACCGCTCTTTCAGCAATCAACATTGACTTATTATTTGCCTTTAGTGTCCCCTTAACTGTTCGTAGGCTTCATTAGTTGTGTCTAATACAGAAAACAGCTCCTTGAATAATTTCCTTACAATACCGTCTTTTGTTACAATGGTCGATGAAGAATAAAAACAAATTTGATATTATAGGTACATCACGGCATGCATCTATAACTAAGATGAATAGTTTTCTTCATGCAAGATAACAACTTGTTCACATAAACAGGTGAAAGCCATACTTATAAAATCACGTAATTGTGTGGCCACTGAGCAGTAGCAGACAAGAGCCATAGACCAACCGTTCTGTTTTTTATTATACTGCTCCTGATCTCAAAGGTTCCTTCTCCTCTTTATTGTCACCTGTTGGTTGTCATCTTCAACGGGGATTGTTGGTTATATTCAAAAACACACCGCAGAAACCCTTGTGTGTGTCCTTGGTAGAAGGAGCCAAGTTTTTTCACAGAAAAGGGACATGCCACACCAAAACTGTGACTGTATTATCAATGTTTCTGTGTTCATTCATTAGCATGTTCACTTCGACACGCCAGCATGAGGCGACCACCCGGTAGTTTGCATGCTCGGTAGTCAACTCTCCGGCTCTTCCATTAGCTTCTGGATGATAAGGGAAATCTGCACACACAAGGCAAAAAAAAAAAGTTACGCATTTCTTAGCTTAATATTTCATATTTTATGTAAATCCCAATTTCAACAACTTTTTAGGTCTACAGAAAATTTTGCATGTAGACACACTGTGAGTTATACAGTAATATCACCTTTATGGGCAAGGTAAGTTACCACTGTTGGATGCAAGACAAGCAATGGCACTAAAGATTACACCTAGGAATACCGGGATTCACAACAGTGAATCCACATTCTTGTGATTCACACATGGCAGACTTAGAAGCTGACGGTCAAACACAATTTAAAGGCGCGCTTACGCAAGATTTTGCAACTGATATAGCCTGCGGAATCTGTTCCTGTCAACATGCTTATATCATCTACCAAAAATAGATTGGAGTGCAATATATATGAATTTTACAATGCTTGGGGTATTATATATCTACTGACACCATTCTGTGACATCGCAAAAGAGACATTTTTCATTTCCTCATTATGCGCTGTCAACATTCTCCACACACTGGAGTCAGCCAACAAATATAAAAAGTTTTTTTTGAGTTTAATGTTTTCATTACTGAGCATTGTCAAGCCAGCCCCTCCACAATGGACATTATACCGACAAGTCAACACAGTTCTGGTGAGTACATGCAATCTACATCACAGAAATCACTGTCGGGGGCGCCGGAGATACTGCACTCATCGTTCTTCACGTGTACCATGAGCAGATGGCAGTTCTGCCGCTAGCAAGTTGCGAGTCGCTGTTTCCTAGTGACATAACACTGCCATGACATGTTGCCGAGAAGCTGCCCTCTTCATATCAAAACTTGAAGTCTCTCTTTAAAGTAGCGGTATTGAAAACATGTGCTATGCATTCCCAGGCACCACAGTACTCTTTTCAGCGCACTCAATACCAGTATTCTTAGTTAGAGCAACAATCCCAAGATATTTAAAATTTGTGTCAGTACTCCCTTAATTTCCCAAAATTGAGATTCTGTATTGGAGGTCTCCGAATTTTTGACCATCCGATGTTCTTTAACATGCCCCGACATCACACAGTACACAGGCCACTATCATTTTGGCTCCATCAAAATGTGGCTGCCACGCTCAGGACCGAACCTGTGACTTTGGGTCAGCAGCCGAGCACCATGATCGCTGCATCATCTTGGCGGATATTTGATGTGAATCCATATGTTCACACGTGCGATTAAAATTCATGCTCAAATTTTTTGAGGGCTCAATTTTTTTGCACGACACAATATTAATGAGAACTCGTTAAGTTCATGACCGCTATTCAGGGCTATACACCACATCTAGTGACACTGACATTATCTAATGAGATGTGAAGGTCACCCCCAACTTCCGTGACATCACCAATGCAACCGAGCTTTGCGCTGGTGCAGCTAAAACGACGTCAAAGTAATCGTTGCTCTTTTGCTGAGCTTGTGCCAGCAGACTACTATCCGGCAGCTGCTCGTGAGTCTGCGCCTGCAGCAAGCATGCGGAAAGTGTGGAAGCCTCAAGACAGTCTTTCTCACCATACGACGTTGACAGCAATACATGCGACAAGAAAATAATGTAAGAAGACTATGCAGCAGTATAGAAGTGGGTCACAGTTCCTTGGGCTGATTCCCACGCTACAAGGCATACGTTGCAAGTGGTAGCTTGTTCTCGCCCGAATGTAAACTGAGACTGGTCGGCAATAAATGGATAGTAACTAATTATTTGTCATGTGCTGCAGCAATCGATTTGCGGTGTTATGAGTGATAGGCCCTCACCAACATAGTGAAGACAAAAATGCTTGTGCCAGTATGTACACCTTTTACAGCAAAAGCTGTTATGAGATCACAACTCGGGTCACGCGCAGCTGTCCGCTGTTGCAGCCGATGTTCGTAACCACATTGCGCGAAATTAGAAAAAAATCCTAGCACCAATGGCACAGTGGGGCTTGAACCCAAGTTCGCTGGGTGCCAGACCAGTATTCTACCACTGAGCTACGCCGATTCTTGTGACTTGTTGGCAAACTTGCTTAGGCAGGCTTGATGTCGGGAAAGCAATCGTGTTAATACGCTTTATAAAGCGTTTTAAAACAGCGGAAGAAGACCCAGTCGTCACACGATGCGAGTAGCGTAACGAGTGGGCCGCCCAATGCTCAAACCCATTACAAAAGCTTGTTCTTGTTCCCCTGTTACTGTGGCGCATGCTCACTTCAGCCATAATTCCTCGTCGTTGTCAGCCACTGCATAAACCATTGGCACAAAACTCCTTGCAAGTGTTTAGCGGTTACCACGCTTCTCAGAAGAATGACGAAAAATAGCATGGCGAATGCGGGTCTACTACCCAAAAAATTTTATAATTAATGCCCTAGTGGCTATCAAGCAAGTGTGCTTGCAGTAGTTACCCAATGAGTGTTTTGAAAAGGATCTAAAAGGCCGCTCTTCTAGCTTTCGCTGTGACTGTGCTGCGCCTTCCGCGCAGGCCTGGCGTTCTTGCTTTTAGCGCTGTTTAAAAACTAAAAGAGAGGAAAATAAGTACTAAATTTTGAAGTTCCACAGGCCAGTTTGCTTTAAAGGTGCCAAGCAAACTGTCTTCTTGGTGACTGTTCAACAAAGGAATGACCTTAATTGTTATGCATGCATGAGGAGCTAACATTTACTTCTACAGTTTGCCACGCTTTACCCTCTGGGTCATTTTGTAAGTACTATACTGTTAATAGACATAAGACAAGTCATAGTGGTCTAGTGGCTAGGGTGCTAGGGTGCCGTCCCAAACATCATGAGACCGTATCTGGGGCACGACAGTCACGTTTTCAATGGATGTGGATATGCTCGAGGCTTGTGTTTAGGTGCACGTTACAGAGTTCGAGGTGTTAAAACTTCTGAAGACTCCCACTACCGTGTATCTCATAGTCGTATCCTGGGTTTGAGACATTAAATCCAAACAATTATTATTATTAGATAGTAGACATGAGCATGCGATAAAAAACTTGGTTAGCTGGAAGTACAACTGTTATTAAAAGTTAGCTTATGATGCTTGTTTGTTCTTTTTCTGCATTATCACATTATTGCAAAAGTACAGGCTTGAATTTGTAAAACGCGTAGCGAAGGTTGATGAAATTACATTTATGAAACTTATGCAATTCCACTTGAAACAATAAAAATTAAATGTATACCGTGTTATACTTTTTCTTTTTGCCACAACAAAACTTGTGCTGCTATTACGTAATTCGTGTGTGCAGTGCTACTGTACAAGCTACCAGAGAAAGTTGAGGCGCACCTATTATGTTCACTTACAGTGCAGTCCACTTATAACGATGTCCAAGTGCCAAGAAAATCCCATCATTATAAGCGATAATTCTTATAAGTGGGTTGGCAAAAAACATAAAAGACGAAAATCACTGCCCAAGCACTCTATACAAATGGTTAACCAGTGAAAGCTTAAACGTGCGGCCCCGGTGTTTAGCAGTGGGTTCAACTTGATGCTGCACTGAAAGCTTTTACAGTTATTGGTTACATGTTCGTGATTCTTAAAAATGCATCAAAATACTTGGCATCATTGTCCACGAGCACATGTTATAGAATGACCAAGTCAACGCAGTTACATTGAAATCGGCTAAGTGTAGAGGACTAATTAGTCGTCATCGGCATATACTACCATCTACAATAAAAAGGTTACTTTACAATGCACTTTTTGATTCCCTCCTAAGTTACTGCTTCCAGGTATGGGTATGGTATGGGTACAGTCCTTAACTTGTCAAAACAGATTGTGTTACAAAAGAAAATGGTTTGAATGATTTCGAGTGCTGCCTTTCACACTGTTTCTATTTTCAAATAATATCAAATTGTTAAAATATCAGATCTTTTTCAAATTGCTCTGCTGCTACAAGAAGGCAGCACTCAAAAAGTCAGACACATTTCTTCAACTCGTGAACCTTAAACAAAACCAAATCATTTATCATGTCCAATATCAACCACCTTGGCTGGCACATTCCATTCTCGCAAACACACTATGGAATGCAACGCATTCAACACATCATCTCAACAACATTAAACTGTTTTGAAATGCAAGGAACAGATGTCTTATTCCCCACATACACACACACACACAAAAGGAAATTAGAGGGCTGTTCACTTAACAGTTAACTATTCTAACTTCGTTTTTGTAATAATGGAGCATACACATGTTTTTGCAAGTTGTTTTTTCTTCTCATTAATCATTCATATGCTTTACATATATATCTATGTCTACTATATGTGCATGCATATCTGTATATATCTGAACATTGTACATGATAATGCATACTTGAAGTGTTGAGTATTTTTCCTGCATATTTTTTTCTTTTTTGTCTTCTCAGATTCTCTGATATCAACTGCTGTACCCTCCAGTTTCACCGCCACCCGTTTTGCAGATTATACAGGAACACAGGTAATGGGCATGCACCCTGGTACAACGGTGCAAATTGATAAGAAAACCACAAGCGAAAAAGAAAACATGGCAGCACTTCTTTTTGCTGTAATGCTTATTACAGCTTTTAATATCATTTTGCACTGCTCTACCGAAATGATCAATCAATATCAACTTTCCGAAATGTCAATTCTTCGTTGTGGCAAAAGCTACTTCGTTTGAGCCGTATCTGGTAATTTAGCGTCCTAAAATGTTTGCCAAGCACAGACTAGGCTCCCAGTCTTTTCATGCCATTTCAATGTTCACCTTCCTGGCCTTGACTTGAACAGGGTCGGATGACTTCGGCTGCAAGTCTTGAAGCTGTGCCAGGAGTGGTGCCCCCTGGCTTGCCAGATTGACATGGCCCTTTCTCAGCAAAGCTTCGATCAACACCAGAGCCCTCTGGTGGTTGGCAGGAGGCGGATGGAAGAGGCAGAAAAGGAACAGTAGTATGGCATCAAGTAAAGCGCAGGGAAGATTTTGAGTCAATTTATGAAAGCTTTTGAGAGAATGGCAATCCAAACATGGGGTATTAAAACTTGTTGGGCTAGTTGGTAATTTTTTCTATTGTAAATACCTTTAGCACAGCTTGGCAATCCTACAAGCACCCACATATTCACACACTATTCCGCATGAGAAACACAGGCCACACACAGCGTTGTGTGTGGTGAGTGCTTTTCGCGTGGAAGAGTATGAACGGGTGTGTGTTTATGGGATTTTCAAGCTGCGCTAAATATACTAACAATATTATTACAAACAGATTGCATTTTTTTCTTGAATTTCTCTTTGTTCATGGAAGAAGAAAAATGATTACGTTTAAATGTATATATTCAACAAAAGAATGGCAAAATGTACATGTAATAGCATCGATACTCAAGTATTTTACATTAACCCTCAACCATGGAATGCTTAAACCACTGACTGAAGTAATGACAACTACTCTCACTAATTCTGTGAGGCCACAAATACACACTTCCCAGGCATGCTGATTTGAGCGTTCAGTGAGTGCAGAGCAAACAGAAGGCTGTCAAGTTTATGTTTTTATTGGAAGAATATCCTGTATATAGGCAATTGAAAATTTTACAGATATGAGCCTATTTCTATAGTGACATTCTGCCACAAGCGAACAAGAGATGTACTAAACAAAACAATGTGATCTGTCTTGATAATTCAGAGAACTTAGGCTTTTTTTTTCGGTACCTGAGATGATAACTTATTCAGAAAGGCACCACATAAATCAACTTAGAAGGGACATTTTGATGAACATAATAAATTTTGAGGCATTACATGCCAGAACCACAATATAGTCAAGCATTTTGTCAGTGATTTATGCTATTTCTTCCATGTCATGATGCAGGTTGTCTATGTCACCACAAAAGCACAGTTGCATGCAGTGGCATAAATCAAGAGTATAATCACAAGGGGGGACACATTTTTGTCAAGAAGACCATTTTTTTACAAATACAGGTTTAATTTTAATTATGTAAAAAAATAAAATCATGCTGTATAAAAAAACAAAAAAACTTTGAGGATGTAACATCGCCTTTAAAAGCAAAATGCGATATTATAATCAGGCCACTTGTGCATGACCTCCTTCTTAGTTAGGCTTCAGTGCTTGGTGCATGCCTCCACTATACCACACACAAAAAAAATGAACAACCCTACACATAACCTTAGCCGTTTCAAACTATCCTAGGATGCCTACTGCATATAACATGAATGATTGCGCCGGCAGCGTTCCTCCTTGGTCGTGACTCTTGTATCCCCTTCAATCACACCTCCTCCAAGAGGGCTTGGTGCTGAGATAGTTGATAGGCTATTTAAGGAAAATAAGCGTGGCACTAGAAAGATTGGGATGAAATGAAGACACAGAACAACAAACCCGAGTGCGAACTTCCTCCTGTTTATTATTGGAAGCCATGCTGCTAGCACACAACCTAACCTTGACACATCTTCAAGCTATCTTTGAAGAACATCACCTCTTGGTTGCCTAAATACAGTAGACTCTTAGTAAACAGAAATTTGTTAAGCGGAACTGCTGCTTATATGGAACTGTCTGCGATATGCTTGGTATCATACTTGCATTCAGCACACCAGTTTATTTCTCAGTAATCGTGACTCCGGCTAAATGAAACATATTTTCTTGCTCCCTTCAGACTCCATTTCGTGAGAGTCTACTGTAGAGAGATGGCACACAAATGCACGAAATGCCTGCCTTTTTCATAAGAAACACCTCAATCATCTCCCTTTCAGTGCCACTGCTTGCTTTCCTAAGAATGTGGCTTGGCCTCTCTCTCCACGGTTAATTATGAGGCCTTATTCTCTTACCCCATCTCATTAGGCTGCTCCTTTCCTCGCGGTCATCAGGGGCATAGCTAGAAATTTGTTTCGGGAGGGGTTCACACCTACCTAACTGGGGGGGGGCACAGACGTCAGCGTCCTTTTGTGAGTGACTATCAGCGGTAGTTTCACGGTAGTTTCAGCAGATTGTGTACATGTACTTGTATATCAAAGTCATGACTCATGAGACTTCCCCCTCTCCCCATGGGTATGCTTTTGAAGAGAGTGTGATGACGTTTATTGAACCAGAGAGGTCGCAACGATGTCGCAACGAATAATGGTCGTACTACAAGTCTGGCAAAGGCGGCCCAGGTCATCGTGCAATCAGAGCACGGGGTTTTTCGTTTTCTTTGGAAGGCGCATACGCCTTAGTGCGTATGCTCCACTACAATACCCCAGGGGTGAAGAGTAGCCATCCTGGCGAATCAGGGAGTAGGCACAATGAGGGGGTCATAGTAGGGCTTGAGACGGTCGACGTGTACGGTCTCGCGTCCTCGATGGCGCAAATGTGGCGATTGTGTTAGGGGCTCGATGATGTAATTCACCGGCGAGGTTGCGTCAATGACATGGTATGGACCATAGTACCGGGCCAGAAGTTTAGAAGACAAGCCAGGAACATGTGGGGGCACCCAAAGCCACACAAGGGAGCCAGTACGAAACGTAGGCGCTATGTGATGAACGTCGTCATGTCGGGTTTTTCGTAGACCTTGAGCCTCACTTGTCCTAGACCGAGCCAACTGACAGCAGTCTTCAGCGTATCTGGCGACTTCCGAATAAGGGCGGTACAAGAGTATAGTGTCGAGTGGGTGGGATGGTTCGCGGCCGTACAACAGAAAGAACGGGAAAAAACCGGTAGTCGCTTGCGTCGCGGTGTTGTAAGCGAAGGTAACAAAAGGTAATACAGCGTCCCAGTTAGTGTGGTCGGAGGAGGTGTACATCCTCAGCATGTCGCCAAGTGTGCGGTTGAACTGTTCAGTGAGACCATTCGTCTGTGGATGGTATGCGGTAGATTTCCGGTGGATGATGTTGCATTCAGCGAGAATAGCTTGGATGACCTCCGACAGGAACACTCGACCCCTATCACTGAGTGATTCCCGTGGAGCCCCCTCGTGGCGGAGAATAAAGCTGTGCAGAATGAAGAGTGCAACTTCGTGGGCGGTCGCTGCCAAAGAGCTGCAGTCTCAGTGTAGCGTGTCAGATGACCGACGCTGACAATAATCCACCGGTTTCCAGAGCGACTATATGGGAGGGGGCCATAGAGATCGATACCCACGCGGTCGAATGGGCGAGCCGGGCATGGGAGCGGCTGTAACATGCCAGTAAGGTGCCGCGGAGGTGTCTTGTTTTGCTGGCAAGTGGTGCAAGACTGAACGTATTTCTGCACAAAGCGATACATTCCTCGCCAGTAATATCGTTGGCGCAGCCTTTCATAGGTTTTCAGGACACCTGCGTGAGCGCTTTGGGGGTCTGCATGGAAATTCATGCAGATGTCAGAGTGCATATGAGTTGGGACAGCAAGGAGCCACTTCCTACCACCAGGCATGTAGTTGCGGCGGTACAGAATGCTGTCTCGCACGGAAAAGTGGGCTGCTTGTCGGCGTAGTGCTCTCGTAGAAGGGACAGCAGACGAATCGGAAGGTAGTCAAGTAACAATGCAAGGTATGAATCTTTACGCTGCTCCGAAAGCATGTCAGTGGTGTCTATTGGTGACAAGGCGGTAAAAAGGGGTGACAGAGAAGCCACATCTGGGGTTAATGGTGATCGCGAAAGTGCATCGGCATCCGCATGCTTGCGACCAGAACGATATACTACACGGATGTCGTATTCTTGCAATCGAAGTGCTCAACGTCCCAGGCATGGACAGCCAATGTGGACAGCCAACATAGAGCGTGGTGGTCTGTGACCACGTCGAAAGGACGGCCGTAAAGGTACGGGCGAAACTTCGTCAAGGCCCAGACTATGGCCAAACACTCCTTCTCTGTCATGAAGTAATTCAATTCAGGCTTCTTGAGAGCGCGACTTGCATAGGCGACTATGTATTCAGCTTGGGTGCCTTTCCGTTGTGCCAGAACTGCACCAAGACCGACGCCACTTGCATCGGTGTGAATTTCTGAGGCAGCAGCGGGGTCGTAGTGACGAGGAATAGGTGGTGAAGTCAGCAGGTGGCGTAGCTGGCAAAATGCGTCGTCACATGCAGGTGACCATGCAGATATACCTTTGCTGTTGGAAAGCAGACTCGTGAGAGGTGCGATGATAGACGCAAAGTTGCACACGAAGCGACGAAAGTAGGAGCAGAGACCAAGGAAACTTCTTAGGGCTTTCAGTGATGTGGGCAACGGGAAGTCAGCGACAGCTCGAAGCTTATCTGGGTCCAGAAGAACACCGTCTCTTGTGATGACATGTCCCAAGATGGTTAGTTTTCGTGCTGCGAAGTGGCACTTCTTGGAGTTAAGTTGTAGGCCTGCAGAAGTTAGACACGTCAGAATCTCGTGGAGGTGAACAAGATGTGTCGGGAAATCAGATGAAAAGACTACAATGTCATCCAGGTAACACAAGCAAGTTTTCCACTTATGGGCACGCAAGATGGTATCGATCATGCGCTCGAATGTGGCAGGTGCGTTGCAGAGCCCAAATAGCACGACTTTGAACTCATATAGGCCATCTGGCGTTACAAAGGCTGTTTTAGGGCAATCACATTCAGCCATTGGCACCTGCCAATACCCAGAACGCAGATCCAAGGATGTAAAGTACTCGGCGCCTTGTAAACAGTCAAGAGCATCGTCTATTCGTGGTAGCGGGTAGACATCTTTCTTTGTAATCTTGTTTAAGCGGCGATAGTCCACGCAAAATCGAACGATGCCATCTTTTTTCTTTACCAGAACCACAGGTGATGACCAAGCGCTTTGAGAAGGCTGCATGACTCCAGGTTTAAGCATGTCGTCTACTTGCTCCGTAATGACGCGGTGCTCTTCGGGGGAAACGCGGTAAGGACGCTGTCGCAGAGGCGAATGTGAGCCGGTGTCAATAGTATGAGTGATAGTCATGGTGCGGCCCAAAAAAGG